GGAGAGGTTATCTTCGGATCCACACGTTAAGGCCTCAGTGAGTCGTGGGGATGTGGGCAGTGGCGTCTGGCGACTTTCGGCTGAGGTCTACTTGAATCAGGACATATCCGGACTACATTCACCCTGAAACTGCCTCCCCTGCCGCCAACTGCTCACATGAACAAACACTCTTGGCTTTCACAGCCTCCCGGCCTTGTGGCAAACGGCAATCGCGGCCTGCAGCATCCAAGCAAAGCCAGATTATGTGCCAAGGACTGCCGATGATTCTACTGAATTCTGAGTAAGAAGAATAGATGTTGAGCAACGAGAGAGCATCAAAGGTGCGTGCTTACAGCTCTACGCAAATATGAACATAAATATATATACATATATGTATGTATAGATAGATAAACCTGTACACATACTCAAATATTTTTTGAATAAGGTGTGTATTGCGAAAACTTTAACCAATCACAATCCCAGCCTGCGTGGGGTCCTCAGTGACCTTCATCCTCTCGGCCACGAGTTTCACAACGGCCCTGTTTGATAGACGGCCTGCCGGGCAACTCTCTCTGCAAACACGAAGAAAGATAGTGATCCTTTCGGTGGACCCCCCAGCCGGTAACAGTGGTATATTAGGAATATAGGAGGGCCCTAATGTAATCACCAGTATCCCTTAGAATTAGTACGTACTTCTGGGGTCCACCTAAGGGATCCCAGCCTTCAACTATGCCGTCACAAATCAGAATGACGCTGTCGGTGGAGTCGCACCAGAACTCCTGCCGGGCGTGATGGGCTTGAATATCAGAATCAGAGTTGGCAGCACAGCTAAGCAACTAGACTCCCCTAAACTAACATGGAGACCCAAAAAGCCCCCTTTGAAAGGGACTGTAGTCCTCATAAGCCTTCTTTTGGGTTTCCATGTTAGTTTCCGGGAGTGTATCCAGCCTGGAGCTGCGGAGCGCAAGTAACGGGATGATCCCTTTGGTCTGGGCCTGTCATCATGCACAAACACCCTGAAGCACTGTGCAGTTCAAGCATCACGCGCAGCAGCCACAAGCCTCCCGTGCGTTTCAAGTACAAGTCGCCGAAAGCCCTGGAAAGGGCCAAAGATCCCATGACCCTGGCGACTCCATCCACCTTGGCTTTCATTCTCCATGTGAGCGGCCATTCTCGCAAGAATCCACCACAATCAGAACAATAATATCAATAAGGTTTGAATAGTAATGATATCATTTATCTTGTCGATGACAACAGTAGTAACGGGGGTCTAACTGAATTATGGCAAGCATCTACCACACCAACAATAGTATCAAGATGCTTTACATGACAGCAATAGTCATCATCGTCGTCGTGGTACGCTCCCCCTAAGGGAAATCCATAAAGACCCCCCTTAAAGGGACTGTGGTCTTTATAGGGCCTTTTTGAGGTCTCCATGCTAGTTTCCGGGAGGGTACTGGGAAGGAAGAAGAAGCAACTCTGAGCTACAGACTTCCTGCACATAGCCGCCGGTCCGTTCGATCCGGGCTCTCTCGTGGGGAAGGTCAGGCTTGTGGTCCTCGCAGGTGTAGTTGTGCCATTAGGGTCTAAGGTTTAGGGTTCAGGGTTTTGGGGTTTAAGTTTCAGGGCTCTGAGGTTTAGGGGTTAAGGTTTAGGGTTCATCGTTTAGGGATTAGTTAGGATTTAGGGAATAAGGGAATATAATCCTCTATATCATCATGCCTGTATAAAATATCCGCACATTCCCTACTAATCCGCCCGCAAGTTCACCAACATTTGCACGAGGCTTGACATTTGACATGGGGTCCGTAGTGAGGCCGTAGTCTGTTCCAGGTCCATGGAAGATCGAGCCATTGGCATGCCCCAGAAGTATGCGGCTGTCGCCGACGTTTCCAACGCGGAGGCGGTACTTGCCTGAAAGCGTGTCCCGACACCCTGTCTCCCCCGTAATAACCCCTATACGAGTCTCCTACAAAAATCCCCTTTCAGGAGTTTGGATGGTGGCTTACTTAAGCATGGCTTCCACATACATGAGCACCTAGTGCCTATAGTGCAAGCGGCGCGCCTCCAGGAACTGTAGGCGCTTGGATGATGATAAATGTACCAGTGGATCCGCTGGGTTGATTGGAGACCAGAAACTCCCTCTCCAAGCGGAAAGCCAAATCCATGACCTCATCATCTGTATCTGGCATGCCATTTATGGCCAGCTCTTCCTGGATACGCCTGGCCATGAACTTCGAACACTGGTGGCCTCCGTGACCATCGAAAATCCCGAAGAAGCCCCAATTATCTTTGGTATGGATCACGTGGGCATCCTCCATCGTAGGTCGCCATCCCTGCATTTCTGCGCAGCCAACACGGAAGGCTCCTTGAGCAACTCGCCTTGTCTGAAGTTTGCGGGCAAAACGTCTTCGACATCTCAACAACATGTAACCTCGCTAATCTACAACCTAGCGGCTTATACTTAGTAATAAAGATTCCAAACTCCTAAACCCTAAACCCTACTATACCAAAATGGTAGTTTCCCAAAACAAGGGGACCCCAATGTAGACCCCAAAATGCTATGGTCGAAAAAATAAGGAGCCCCAAGAAGGTACCCCTAATTTTAGGAAACTCCCAAATCTAGTTTTCGCGGGGCTACCGAAAGAGCTCAGTCAGCCAAGGGCTTCTGTGCTTTGCCAAGGAGCTGCGCCAGGACGGATGTCTGCGGCCCGCTCCCTGAAAAGTAGTTGTTCACGGACTTTTTCGGTACTTCATTACCATTATTCATTATTTCATTATGCGTACATTAGTATGAGTATATGTGTACTACTATCGGCTATAAAGGGAACTTGAGGACTATTTCTGGTGAGATGTTTCTGTAGCAGAGGTTGGAAGTTGCTGCTCACCCTTCTCCTTGCTGCTGATCCTAGGATCTTGCAGCGCCTGGGATGCTTGCCAGTCAGGCGGGTGCGGTTGGATGAAATTTTGATGCCTGTGCTTCAGGGTTTTAAGGTACACCCTAGGCCCTAGACCCTAAACCCTAAGGTTTTGCAACAAGAAATGACCTAAAATCGAGTCCAAGTCAAGTACACGCAGAGTTCTATCTAAGCCAATCATGCCCTCATGCACCTTTGCCAGGGGCTGCCGTGTAGCTCCGAACCCTAAACCCTAAACTCCAAATCCAATCTGATTGCCGTTTTGGCTGGTAATCTTCGGGTGGTATGATAATATTGCACTTCTTACTGTCCTACTCATATTGCTATTGAAAAACAATGCTACTCTTACTATGGCACCGTCATGAATACTTTGTTATCTGCCTTGCGGCACCGCGAACGCGCGAGGACGCCGGGCAGCTCGTCGTAGGAGATGGGGTGCAGGGCCTTCTCGTGGAAGCGACTAGTCTAAGGTTGAAAACATGGTACCTAGTAAGCCCTAGTGTGGGCCCTTAACCGTGGGATCCTTTTATACCTATTTTCTACCCTATATGTACCCCTAAAAAGGCGCAAGAAGGGCCATGTTAGGGGCCGGGGGCCCATACTTGAAACCTTAGACTTGGGGTTAATAAGGTCTCAAACAATTTCTATTTAGAATTCGAGTGGTGTTTAATGGCACCATATGGCACCCTATGATGCAACATTTTCAGGATAATGATTGAATAGCTAGTCCTACCAGTTGCTGAGGCGTTTACAGTACATGGTCGTGGTCAACTCTTGAACCCTAAACCCTCAACCCTCAACTCTTGAACCTGAGAATTCTAAGTTCTAGGTTTGGGAGTTCAGGTGATCTTGGGGCTAAATTATCTTTTCCTTGCTTCCCAAATGGGGTGTGGGATTCTGAGCCCCGGCGCCGAAATGCAACATTTCGAAGGATCTCGAGCTGTCAGTTGGATAGAGAATGTCAGAATCCTTCTTCCCACCCAAAGTGTGTAGCATAATGGTCTATTGGACTATTTCTAGGGGTCTAGCGTCATTATTTTACCTACTTTGGGGTCCAGGTAGGGACAATAACCCAAGATTGCGGATCCGTGCACTCTGCGAAGCCAAGTATGGCATGCCGTTTCGCAAGGAACCCTGGCGCGCATTTCTCCAAACAGGGTTCCCATGTATGTATCCACCCACAAAATGTCCTTGTTTAACGGCGCGTCCGAAGAAGACGCCTAATTGACAAAGAGCCGGGTTGTTGTGTGCGAAGTTTAGGGTTTGGGGTCAGGGTTTCTGGTTGAAGGCACACCCAAAAGCGGACCAGACCGTGACAGCTGAAACGCCCAAAAGCGGACCAGACCGTGACAGCTAAAACGCCCAAAAGCCGACCAGACCGTTACAACTAAAACGCATAAACATGGACCAGAC